CTGTGACAAATCTCCAGCTGAGCACTAGTCAAAGCCAATGATTCTGCTTTAAATTCACTAACTAGCTTAGAGAAAGAAAAACAGGAATGACACCTATAGAACAGAGGGATGTCAAAAGTGAGATGGGATCAGGCTGGCAGGCTGCACAAGACAGGAGAGAGATTAAGGCAGACAAGGTCAGAAGGTTTGCATCTTCAGCCATTTTCAAAGAGTGATTCTCCATGTATATATTCATCAGCTCAAGAATTGATACAGCTGCCTGAGGTACTTCTCCTCTTAAGAAAAAAGAAAGTAATCTAAAAGATCATAACAGAGAGAAAGCACATGGGAGAACAAAACACACAGAAGTACCCTCTAGGTAACAAACATTTTATTTATTTCTTAAAGAAACTACAGCAATACATGTGACTACAGAATTATGAAGCACTGAAAAACCAAAGGAATGAAATGGCCTGGATCCAAGCACTAAGGACATCACACCTTTTCTCTCACCGAGCCATCACTCAGAAAAATCACATTATCTGAAAAGAAATTTAAAAAATTAATCTTGAGCATTGTTTTGCCTTGTTGTAAGTCTTCACACCATGAAGCCCGGGTATTTGCGCTAAAATAAGTTGCTAAGATGTGGATTTTGGAACAGAATAATAGTTGATAAAACGAAACAGTGTCCAGTACAAGGTTCCTTCTCTATCTCCCCTGAAAGCAGGCAATTCAAGGTGGCCTTATGTACTACGAGAAACAAGTGTGCTAAAACTGATGAAAAGAGAACTACTAAAAAACATTTTAAAATAATGGTTTAATTATTTGATTACAATCTCCATCAGTTACAGCTTATTTCCCTTTTCTTCTGTCATGTTCACTCTGCACTATATACTATACTATATACCATGTCAACAGCCTGCAGGACTATGGGAAGCTCCTTCTTCATCAAGCCTGAGGAATTTCTGAAGCATCTTGAGACTGGGCCTCTTAAACAATAAATCATTAGGAGAATACTAATTTAAAAAGAGATCTGCTTCTCCCTTATAGCACTGCTACCTTTTAAAGAGGCTGCAGAAACATCCAGGAATATGGCTGTTCTTCCTTTTTTCTTCCCCTTCCTTTTACTCTGTCCTAGTTTTTTTAGACATACTTGTGTAACAGAAATGTTTGCTCTACTACCCAATTAATTTATCCCTCACTCAAAAGCAACACAGGACCAGCTCTATCTACAATAAGGATGCTGCAGGATGCTCAGGCTATTTAAAGGCTCAAGGAAAAAGCTGAGCTTCCTAGTTTTCTTTGTTGTGTCAACACAAGACACAAGTCTACTCCTTATCCATTCTGTGGGTAAGCAAATGACACCAACAGTTTGCAACTGGATACTCTCATTTTCTGAGTTCACAAGCAGTGCTAGAGGAAATCTGGTACACACTCTCTATTCTCTCAAAATCCCCGAGTGCAGATACTGATGAAGACTAACCAAGCTTCATTTCAGAGGTCCTCCACACTCTTTTAATTTTAAAAGGGCAAGGGGCACCTTGACACTTTGCTCCTTACCTGCTATAATTGTTGTGGCCTGTCGCCTCACATTGTTTTTATCTGTATATTCACCATAATCTATCTTCCCTTCTACAAAGATTCGAGAGCTGAAAAAAAACAAGAATTTGATTTTGGTCAGAGAACTGTGCGGCTGTTTTCCACTCTGTAATAATACAATGGTTTGGATTAAAATGGGATCCTTAAGACCATGTGTTCCAAACCCCTGGCTGTGGGCAGGCATACCACCCACTAGATCAGGCTGCTCAAAGCCCCATCCAGCCTAACTTTTAACACTTCCAGGGATGAAGCATCCACAGCTTCTCTGGGCAACCTGTGCCAGGGCCTCACTACCTTGGCAGTAAGGTTTACATCCATATATCCAACCTAAATTTCCCCTCTTTCACTTGGAGCCTGTGACTCTTTGTCTTATCACTACACTTCCTGATGAAAAGGCTGAATTCAGAATCTGATTCAAAGTACACAGGCTTTTGTATCAGTTCTTTGTAGCTGCTCTGCTAACTTGTTTTATGGCACCTGCATCTTACTATAGTTCCTGGTCACCATCATTATTATAGTAATCCATTATTAAGGCATTAAATCCTCAGACACATTTGTTATTCACTTACCCCTTCCTGACATACTGATAGGTGACATCCCTGAGGCCTGGTCTGAAGACAGAGATCCTGTGCCATGTCGTCTTCTGACTGATATCACCTAAGGTACATAGAAGTAACAGAGCTGGATGGAAATCCTCTCTGTGATACAAGACTCAGAAATGAGTTTCAACACATTGGTTTTCTCAAATTATGAAAAGTGATCTCCCACTTAACCCCAGAACTAGAAGGTCCACTCATCCGTGTCCAAACAAATTTTTGTGCAGAAGCCCAGTTCAAACCAAGACATCGCTTTTTCCGTAAGGCAGTGCTCATGCTATTAATTCCCCCCCCCCCCAGACACTCTATACTGAATAGAATCTAGAGAATGAGATAGCTGCAGATGCAAACTGATGGCAGTTTCATGAACTGACAGAATCAATGAGAGTCATCTTTTCTTCATTTTTCTCATCCTGAAATACAAGAGTACAGAAGCTGCCATGCCTCTGACAAACCCCACCAGTGACAAACTGCCCACCCAGCACACTCTCCTCTCCTCCTGAGGAATGTCAGCAGCAGATCCCTCTTCAGTATTTGCTGCTGAGGATCAGTAAAAGACACACAGATGCACCAGCATCTCTGCTGACCTCAAAGGAACCTTTCTGCACCCCAGAGATTTGCAATTGTGCTGCTGCTGGCCATGCAGCCGTGACCTGGGACACGTTGCTCATGCAGACTCACCTCCCTGGCCCACTTCACTATCTCCTGTCCGCCACATCTCATTGGTTGCAAGGGAAAATATGGTAACAGGATTTTTTCCTTCCACTTGCCTCATGATAGGGTCCTGTCCAACCCGACCAAGCAGCTGAACACGATTCATGGCTGAAACAAGAGACACCAAACAGACAGGTGAATTATGATGCATAAGTTTCTAAGCATGGCAAGCCATCAGTCAGCAGCTTTTCTCAAGGGCCAGGATCACATCTTTCTGCACCTCCTGAGCACTTTTTAAGCTCTTGTGACATTTGGCTTTTTCAGGCCCCAGCAGATGGTTGACTGTGTCTGTACTGTCATTATCACTGTGAACTAACTGATTTAAAAAGACAAACGTTCTTTATTCTTTCTGTTCCATCTCATCTCTTTCACAGACACATCCATGTATCACTTGAGACTAATCTGCATTTATCTTGACTTTTGTTTCATAATGCTAAAACACAATGCACAGCAGTACCTTTGAAACAAAGTTGTATTACTATACTCCATCCTCTGAATAAGTCAGTTTTTACATCATTACCGGGCCTAGGCAGACACAGTCTATCCCGTCTCCATATTCAAGGACACCTGGAAGAGGTCAGGGAAGTATCCCTTGTGCACAATGAGCATGTCAAGTGAATAGTGAAGGCTGAAGTAAACCTGGAGCACGTGCTGCTGGGGCAGCAGCACACACACAAGTGTCCCAGGGACCCAGGGGTCTGAGAAACAAGCACACAAGGCATCTGAAGGCAGGTGTTAGAAACCACTGCCACAGATAAAGCACAACTGCCCTATAGTGACAGTCCTTCTCAGGGCTTTCTTCTTTTCCCCCTAAAGTGCTGCTTCACCTGACAGGAACCAGACAGGAAGACACTCAAGACTATGTGTGCTTGAAACAACACATTCTTAGGTGCTACACTGAGGAGCTACCATTCCTACCTGCTTCTCTCTTTCCCTATTTCAGGCATTCCAACACTGAGAAAAACACAATGAGTAACAACTAAATTGCATCTCAGGAGTTACTTACATCTTTCAAGTACCAATGAGTTAACCGTATCAGATTCATGTCTTACATACTGGCGTAGCACCTGAAGGAACATAGAAAGGTGAGTTTCCAAGACACAAACTACAAACAGCATTCACAAGCCTTTACACCTTATTTTCTGAACACTTGCAGAGGTTCTGCAAGTATGTTCATTTCCAGGTAACTAATGGGGGACCTGAGTTCCCTGGGTTAAATCAAGGTTAAAGAGTTGCCTAGAAAGAAGTGTGGCCCAAAGGTATACCTCCAGCAATTATTTTTGGGACATGCAATAACTACTGTTTTCCTGTAATACGTAAATAAGAGGGGAGGAGGTTCGTCGGAGAATGGGTGTTTAGTTCTTTGAGCTTTATTCTTTGGAAACAAACAGGTCTGATGGTTCTGCTTCGTTTCAGAGATTTACCAGGTGTACCCAAAAAGTACATCCATCCACCGGAATGAGCAATGGATGCACTGACACCCTTGTTCCCAAGGCAAATCTAGGACACAAAATTCTTAGTACTGCAAGTGGGAAAGTTGTACAGGAACTGCCATTTTTCTAACAAATACTCCATCCTAGAAGAAAGGAGCAGGGGGGGGAAGCCCGGAAACGCTTCAGCTAGAGGTCCATGTGCAGGAATTGGAAAAAAGGCTCAATTCCTAGAACAAGCGGTTCCAGAGCTCATATTCTTTCTCCCGAAGAGCAGCCCCAGGGCCAGCGGGCACGGCCGGGCGAGGGCTGCGGGGCGCTCGGCTCCGTCCGCCCCTCCCCTTCCCGGGGCAGCGCCGAGCGCAGTTCCGCGTCCGGAGAGCCGCTCCGACCCTCGGCGGGGCTGCAGCTGCCGCTCCCTCAGCGCCCCGAGGGCACCGGGCCGCCGCAGCCCCGCACGGCCCTACCTGCCACGCCGGTCGCCGCCACATGCTGCCGCCGAGCCTGCGGAGGGAAAAGCAGGGCTGAAGCAGCGTCCCACGGAGCCGCGGCCCCGCGCCCTCCGCGCCTCTCCGCGCCGCGCTGCGCTGCGCCCGGAACAGGAAAGGGCCGGACCGTTCCGGGCGGAAACGGGCCCGGGCCCGCGGGGGGAAATAACCAACACAACTCCGGCACTCCATCATCGGGTTAAAAAATGATAAAACCTTTATTCGCACGAAACGACAGGATCTAACAGTTAAAAGCCAACATGTGCAACAGCATAAAACAACCCAGTAAAACCTGGAAATAAGCGAGTTACCAAGCGCTGCCTCGTAACAGGGAAGCGCTCTGTCCAACCAACACGAACAAGCGACAAGAACCCCCAACGTTACATTTGGCGGGGAGAGAAGGAAGGGTGTATGAGATCTCAAATACGAAATACATACCACCGTTAACATGGGCAACTCCAAAAGCTGAAAAAGCCCTTTCTAACTGCACCACGTGTGAGATACTGGAGGGGAAATGGGTACAGACAGACCCAGCACCAACACACTGCAGTTGTCTCCCCCACATAAACAAGGAGGCCTCCCCGATTGACAGAAAATGAGTCGGGCATCAGGGACTAACTAGTCTGTTAAATCACACCCAGTTACAAAAGTTTTGTTGCTGAAATGTGAAAGAATGTTTTTCTTCAACTCCCACTCTTTAACTCAAAGTATTTCCTATTACTCTGTGTCCCCCCTCAGTGAAACGCCACTCCAGCTGCATCCTGAGCCCCCCAGGACAGCTGTGTTACCAGCCTGGCTCCTGATGTGTAGCTAAAACTGGCTGCCATAGCCTCTGCCTACTTGCTCCTAGAATGGACCAGCTGTAGATGCTGTCTGCCTGTACAGCCATTATCATCCCTCTAAAGATACAGTCAGCCCAAGTGTTAGGACCACAAAATCACCAATAACAGGACCCAACTGAAGAAAGAGGGAAGTGAGTAGAGAAAATGCCATTATTTTGTCACAGCAGAGTTACACTGATTCTATAGCAAGGCCAATTACACAAGAAATTAAACAGGTAAAAGACTGAGGACAACCTTAAATACCATTATCCAACATTTGAAAGCCAGTCATTCTTTTCTCGGCCAACATCTCATCATAACTAACAGGGGAACAAAAAAAAAAAAAAAAAGAGACAGGGAGAAAATATGGGGCATTGGTCTGCACAGACCCTCTGCTTTCACAGGGCCATTCAGCAGTCTTTGGACAGCACAAAAATTCAGAAACCCAGAGTAAAGCTAAACGAGCGACAGCTCTTCCCTCCCACCAGACGCTTGCTCTTCTGCTTAGAAGAGGTTTCAGACTCTTGTAACTTGGCACTTCCTAAGGCTTGGTCCTTCATGAGGGTCTGGGCAAGGCGAGCTGCTTTAAGTTCCCTGCAGGGGGGAGACGGAAGGAAGAGGAAAGGAAGAAAACCATGTCATGCATGAATCCCCATCAGCTACAGAAGCAAACTATGAACAATCTTGCACAAGAGGGTTACTGTAATACTCCAGCACTGCTGGAAGGGGACAACTTCTCAGCCCAGAGGGTAACATGAAGATTCCTGTAGCTGTCCCTAGAGTCTGTTTGAGAAGGTAGGAGGTCTGAAGATTTACGAGAAGAAAACTATGTATCATGTCAGCAACACACTGGCACCAGTATGAGGAACACCTGGCTCAGTTTTTCTCCATTGTTTCAGACATTTATGAATGCTGAAACTTAGATCAATGTCATCTCATACATATATAATACCTAAATAAAGGCAGATTATTCTTTTCCATTGCCCTTCTGCCCTTTCTGGTACTTACTGTTCTCCCAGAGCATTCACTCTGCTGTCTACACAGAAAACCTGCTCCTCAGCTGAATACTGCACTTAGACAGGCTGTGGGCAGTTCTTGGATCCCAGCACCCCAAAACACTACTGCCAACAGCAGTGAGAGGAAACAAGGCGGGGAAAGGAGATCTGCCAACACCTGATATTTCTTTTCCTTCTATGCTTAGCCCACTATCTCAGTGCATTACCAATTCCTCATCTGCCCACTGGCTGCAGGTTGTATCAGCATTTTGCTTCACCAGTGGCTGTGGGAAGCACATGAGTTTGCTGTTGTAAGTCGGCCAGCTCCTCCAAGCCAGAGCTGAAGCACAGCTGCTGCCTAGGCACTGCAAGTCCCTGTTCTACATCCCCATCATCCCCCCAGCTCCAGGCACAGGAACTGGCTGGGAATTTCTGTGCATGCATTCTCCCAGCACTACCACCCTCCATTTAAAGCTGGTGACCAGCATGGTCATGCCCATGCCTTTTCCCCTCCATGCCCATGCCTTTTCCCCTCCATGCCCATGCCAGCCCTACCTTTCCAGCATGGCAGTCTTGCATTTCTCCATATTTAGCTGCTCCTGGAGCTGCACAGCTTTTCCACATGAACGACGGAGAACAGGGTGTTTGGTGAGAGCTGTGGCAGAAGGTCTTTGCGCTGGGTCAGGATGGATCATGAGCTAGAAGGCAAAGGAGTTCAGAGTTTAGCATTCCTGTCACATGCCAGCTGCAAAAGCCACCATCCTGTCAAGACTATTTCCTCACCTTAAGGAGCTCAAGAAAATGGTGGGGAAGCTTCTGGGGGATGGGTGGGACATTGCCTTTGCGGATGTGGTGCCACAGGGCCCCGTTGTGAGGCAGCGGTGCTGTCCCAGCTGCCAGAGCCACCGTGAGTGCCAGGGCAAAGATGTCTGCCTTGGGCAAGTAGCAGTATTGCTGCAGAGAGAAGGGAAAGGTGTTAGAAAGGAACATCTTGCTACATCAAGCAAAGGTGAGTTGGGCTATGAGCTCAAAAAGAAACAGCTAAGCAGCTGTGTGCATATAGCACTGCCTTCACCACCCCAGCGAGCTGGTTTCTCCTCTTCAGGATGAAAACATAGGCAGCAGGCAGTACCACTAACCAGCACCATTGGCTGTCAGCCAGCCATGAGGACCTTGCAGGCCATGTTGAGATCACTGCAGTAACTCCAGAGGATGGCCTAACAGATGTGTACCTCCAGCCTCCATCACAAGGCAGTAAGCTAGCCATGCCCAGCTCAAACCAAAGGCTGCATCTGATACATTGAACAGTTCCTAAATTCACTTGCAGCACAGGTACTGTCCCTTAAATACCTGAACTGAATAACACATCCAAGTTGGTTGTTCAATTCCGATTCCATTCCATTCAATTCCCTTTCCATTTGTTGGCTGGAGTGACAAAACTGCAGTCAGTTTAAGAGGTGTGCTGTGCCTCCCACCTTTTTCACTACTTGTTCAGTGTTTGTTTTAAGAGGCATCTGTCTGGGTAAATATATTCCCCAATAATCACATCCAGTAGTTTCATCTCAGCTGGACATGCAAATCAAATGTCTTCAAACTGATAAAGGTTTTGTCTCACTGATGCCTCAGGGGGAATAGTTGCAATAATCCAATGATAGCTACTTAGGAAGTATTTACATATTAGGCAAGCATTTACAGGATAAGACCCACACCACTATTGTTCATAATAAAGTGCTAATTTCACAGATTTCACAGCCAGACCCGACAGAAGAAAGAGGAGATAAGGTGAGGAACAAGTTAGACTAATGACTGCTCTACAGCTGATCTCTCCCCACTTGCTCTCCCACCCTGCTCTAGCAGTTGTACCTCTTGCAAAATCTCATTGGCCAAAAAGCGTCTGTCTCCTTCCTCCACCTGAGGGTTTGTTATTGATGTCACATGTCCAAGGTCACCTGAGACAAAGAACAAGCAACTCAAATGTAATCAACTGAAGTCATTCTCCAATGAAAGCCTGCATTCTATAGGCACCAACAAGGAAATACTGAGCAAGAGAGCAAGCCTGCTCCTAACTCGGGAATCTGCATTTGTAAACAAGCACATAAATTTTCTGTGACTTGTTTTCTTAGAGGAATTAATTCTGGTGAGTAATTGGAGCATTCCTGACTATCCTATCAGTTTTGTGTGCAAGTCTCTTCAGCCATAAGACACAGCAGTCTCAGGCAGTAATGGGCAGCCCTAATCTTAGGCCAGCTGTAAAGTAGGCTAAAACCTACCAATCTTATACACCACACCAGGAGAGAATTCATCTTCACTGTCACTCTCCTCCTGCCCAGCAGGGCCTGAAACTGCCAGCTTGTGACAGATGAAGATATTACCTGGAAGACAGAGAAGTTTAGCAACAGCATGATACCAGTAGTCAGGCTGCAGCAGCCTGACAACTTTGTCAAAATCCCACCTGTCAAAGTAGTTAAGCTTTGCAGCCAGAGAAATGCTGCACATGCTTCCCACCCTGTAGTCACCTTTCTGCCCAGCTCACAGTCAGCCACACAGCTGGCATAAGACAGTTGTATCTTGTGCATAAAATATCCTAGTGAAATCAGCTTTCCCCTCCCTCTGCCCTCTAAGGGAGAAGCATAATTTCAGCAGGAAAAAGGAGCTCCCCTCTAAAAATATTAAGTATGTGACAAAGGGGAAGCATTGCCTTGGAGGTGACCATCCTGAGCTGCAGAGAGGAAACTTCATTACTATTTTTGCAGGAACTCAATCCCCCCAAGGTGGATAAACACACAAAAGCCAAGTGTTGTGCAACAAGACAGCAGTAAATGAAGAAGTCTCCATCTTCCCTGGCAGCCCTGCTTGCTCCATCAGTATGAAGGTGATTCCCGTGAGCTAGGATTACAAAGGTCATTAGACAGGAGTAAAATTCTGCCAACTATCAGAGAAGGCTCAATTTTAGAGCAGCATAGTGGCACAAATAAAAAAAAAAACATACACAAGACAAAGGGGAAGGTCTTCTTTTCTTTGAACCACTACAATCAGTCCAACCCAGAAGGATTTATTTCAGGCCCTACCCCCTGAGGGTTCACTAGGAAAACCCTCCACAAAGGAGGAGGACACTATACTTACTAGGTTTGATATCCAGGTGCACAAGGCCAGAGTTGTGGATGTATTTTAGTCCCATGGAGACTTGCAGCAATATTTCCTTCAGCTCTCCTTCTGCGAAATACTGCCCAAGCTTTGCATTTTCCAGCAGCACATCCTGGAGGCTCCCACCTAAGAGAACACAGTCAGTCTGAGACCTGACAGAGATTTTTTGGAACAGCATGTTTGAAACAGCTTAGCTGCCCAGAACACTTGGAAGCTTGCTAGTGAAAAACCCCGACCACAGCAGCTCTGTGTGCTCTAGTGATAGCCACCATTTGGCTTCAGCCTTCCCACTGCCCTGGAATGCCCAGCCTGTTGCTCAACACAGAAGAACAACTGCAGTTCTGCCTCCAACCTACAGCTCTACATCCTGCCAGGAGAGCTGACCTGTTAATGATGCTGGTGCTGCTGCAAGTGAACAACAGAAAAATTAACTGCTTCTGCTGTGCTTAGATGCAGAAAGCAGGTATGGTGGAACAAGGAAATTTAGCTCCCAATAGCAGATTTTTGACTGAAAAGCATTAACATTCAACACAGTTTTGTGGGTCTGCATCAAGACACTTTGGATATTTCAGAGCTAGAAGATATCATAGCCTCTGTCTCCATCTCCAAGCTTATTTTTCACCACCTCTCTTTTAGCCTCAGGTATTAAGCCACCAGAACACAAGAAATACATCAATGCTGCAGCAATGAGCACCACATTTTGTGGTTGCCTCCACCAGATTCGGAAGCATTACTCCAAACAGCTGTCACCACTCTTCATTAAGCCCAAAGACTACAGGTGCAGTCAAGAGATGAACATTACATATTTGCCTTCAGCAACTCTAGTAGCCAAAGGTAGCTTTTCCAATTTCTCTCAAGCAGTGGTATTGCCAAAGGCAAACTCCACTAGGAGTTTACCACACTGCCTGCAGCACCCCATTTATACTTTGCCTCATCATTTGCTCTATTCCTCTGCAGCTGTAAACCTCTTTCTTCTAGTCAGGGTGCAAGGTGCCTTCATCCAACCAGTCACTACCCACCTCCAGTAAGAGGAGGTTTGCCAAGATACATGGCCCTTAAGTCAGCAGCTCTTGAGTCACTCATATCAGGTGTCACCTGGAAAGCCCCAGCACAGCCCTAAGCATCAGGATGGGGAATGCTCTTGCAGGCCAGCCAAAACAGAGAAGCAGTTTTCAAATCCCAGAAATATGAGGGTATTTACTGCTTCTAAAATGTTAGCACCACTCAGAGCTTCATCTAAATATTTATTATACACCCTTACTGGATTCTCCACAGAAAGGCAGCCCCAGGGCAGTTTGCTTTCTTGTAAGCCAAAACACCCACATTTATGTACAAAAGAAGGCAGCTTTGCCCATGTTTGATCTCAGCTTGAATGCTGTCCAGCTCTTACCATTGCAGTGTTCATTCTGGATAATCATGTGATCATCCTCTGCCCAGGCCGAGTAGTAGCGCACGACGTGGGGGTGGTGCCCCAGGACAGCGTGAGCATACACCTCTCGCAGTGCCAGCTGCCTAAGGAAGCACACATGGGAAAAGCTGAGGTGACAGACTGCCAGAGGCTGCTCAGCACAGGAGAGGAGCCCTGCTTTGCAGCCTGAAACTCCTGAGCCCCTCTGTTACCCCTTTCTCTCAGGTTTTGACAGACAGACTGGCTCTCACAGCTGCTGAGGCAAAACCTGCCCTTGCTCAAATGCTCTGAGCAGCTGTTAAAGAAAATAATTACTAAAGTTTTTTGTTAAAGAGGCAAAGGCAGCAGCTTCAAAGACTTTGCTTTAGCATACAAGACACCACAAGAGGGTCAATACAGATAAGAGTAGTGCTGGCCATATAGCAAGGCAGGGACAGCAGTATGTCTGTCAAATAAACTTCCTGACAGTTATTGTAAAGAAATTGTCTGGGTGGACCCAAGGTGTTCAGGTATTCCATCCTCTCACTTTCCAGTGCATGTGACTTCTTTCCCTAGACATTTATATACAATAGTTGTATCATGGTATCTTCCCCCACGCTCCCAGCTGTTACTTAAAAGTGCAGCAGTAGCCAATTTTTGCTCATGCCACCCATCAGATACTTTTAGATCTACACTCCCTCCTTCCCATCACGCCTCTCAAGAACATGCCCATCATTTCAACTGTCAGTTTCCAGCAAGCACACTCACTCATCTGAGGATCCTGCCAGAGGCCTTTTGGAGCGTTTGATGGCATAAACACATCCATCAAGGCGTTTGATGCACTTGTAGACAGAGCCAAATTCCCCCACACCAATTTTTTCTAGCTCCAGGAACTCCTTCTTGTAGCGGGAAACCATATTGCTCGCTTTCAGAGTATATCTCTGCAAAGTCACAAAAACAGCAAAGACAAATAGGAGTTGAAAGATTTAATAGCTGTCAGTGTTCTAGAGGTGTGCAACACTTGCTTCCACATTGCTTCCTCTCCCATTCTGGGTGTTCATCCAGGCCTGTGTGCAGGTGCTTGACCAGTTCTTGAAATTACCTTTCACTTGTGTTTTTTCTGACCACTTTAAGGCTACCTGCTCTGGTTTGGCCAAGTTGCAAGGCTGGTTGGTTGGTTTTATATAATCAGGACTTGTTAGCTATTGAGGTAGAAATTGTAGTTAAGGAGAAATTTAGTCTAGTTGGCTTGCATATGCCTAAGCTTCCTTGGGTTACTGCCATTGCATCCCTTCTGACAACCCAGACTATTTCCTAGACCCACAGCTGATGGAGTCAAGCAGGGATGAACAGCAAGCAACAACAAATTACTGGCCTAAAGACAGGACTGAGAATACCTTAGATCTATTGCCTATTTGGAGCTCAGGAGAGGAGTTTGGTGTGTTGGCTTCATGCGACCCCAGCTGTGTGTGTTTACCCTGGCAGCTGAGGTTGCCTGCAGCCAAGGCCATTCTGTATCAGCTCAGGCTCTGCAGGTTTGAAGCACAAGCTGTTGGCTAATGGCAGATTAGCTGGTCTCAGTGTATTTGTTTGTATTCCCACTGATATCTCACCCAGAGACTTTCCCACAAAGGGCTGGAAGCTGGCAGAACTGTTGGAACATAATTATTGCTACAATAATGGCCACTAGGGATCTAGGAACTGCTGGTACTGCTGGGAGAGTGATGCCTGCTGGCAGGGAAAATAAGTAAAGAAAAGATAAGCACTGGAGCATGAAGGGAACAACAAGAGTGGACTAAGTGATTTTTCTCCATCCCTTACAGGGACAGCAGCTCATGTTGCACAGTGGTTTTCACAAGCCACTGCTGTGATTGCTGTAGTTTATGGTACAGAGGAGGAGGTAAGAGTTGCTCCTCAGAGTCAGGAAAATGTGGCTCACATGAAACAGCAGCCCTTCCCAACATGTTACATTTCATAAGGCAGCTGTGTTTTACATTATTTTAGGAAGCTTGGCAGTAAAAATACCGTCTAGTTCACCATTTTATACCTATATTACATACTCAATCTCATTAGCACTCAAGCAGAATAATGTTCAGTGATTCACAAGTTACTCGAGGCTTTCTTCTAAGTAAAACAATAATTGTGGCAGCCCCGGATGTTGCCTGGCAGCAGATTTGCTCCGCAGGTGTAGTTTTAACATGGAGACCGTTTGTCTGCAATCCCAGTCTCCTCGGCTAGAGGGTACCGTTATCCTTCCATAAACCTGGCTATTGCAGTTACAGGGAACAATTCCACCTTTTCCAAGTTTGTAATCTCTAACGTTAACAAAACATTCAGTTTAGACCTTTTCTGTCCTAGGTATTCATCCTCTGGCACGAGGCCATGGTTTATACTTAATAACAGAATAAATTCCATCTAACACCAAGCTTTTACAAACATCTTACTGACTCTGTGGGAGGGAAGTGTACAGACACTCACCTTTGTAGGTTGCTCCTGTTTAATCTGGCTTCCTGGATGAGGACCATTCCTAGAACAGAAGATTGGGAAAGTCTGGTGTAGCATTTCAGTGCAGAAATCCAACTGGGTTTGAAATGAAAACATCTTTCAAAGGAACCTCCAAGCCTTGCTTCACAGCCTAATAATGCATTTTATAGAGTTGCTAAGCAAGTTTTTAGTTGAGGTCTTAAAGACTGCAGTCCCATGTAAGGAATTATTTTTTTCCATTTAGGAGGCCTCCCCAAAGCAATTTTAGTACTGCCCACGGGACAGGGTGGCATTGTCTAGAGGCATCATTCTGCTGGCCTCCTTATTACTGGTGAAGCTGCAGCCATAACACTAAAGAGAGCTGCTGATCCCCCACTCACCTTTCTGAAGAGGCAATGATTGATTTTTATTTCTATTTCTGTTACCTTTACACATCTGCTAACATTTACTCTACACCAATGAATACTACAGAAGGAGATGATTCATTGTTAGCAAATAAGTCCAGATAAGTAATGGAGATGTTAAGTATCCCCTTCTTACAGTCTGATTTCAGTCTGCTGCCTAAGAGTAACTCACTTACAGCTCTCCTCCAGCCTTCCGTTTGCCATTAGGATGAAAGAGCATTTGTCGATAGGACTCTGGTGTAAAGGGATTAATGTTGACAAGAGAAGCTTGGGAAGAGTCATCAGAGTCGGCACGAGGAGTCAGTCTCAAATGTCGGAGGCCTTTGGCTGGGACCTTTGTTGCAGATGAAGGAAAAGCTGTCTTTGATAACAAGCTCTGTATTGAGAGAAGAAAAATAAGTAGCAAATAAATCAGGACTTTTTTTTTTGTTGCCATTTCAGAATAAAATCCTTGCTCTCCTTTAAATCAAGGAGAGCTCAGCTCCATTCCTTGGCATAGCTGAATCATTAAATCCCTGTGTCCCTAGTTCAGTCCCCACAGTTTTCATTTTCCACAAAGCATTCCATTCTTTGTTAAGCCCTTTCATATTCTATTCCCTGCTCACTGGGGTGAGGCCTGCAGTGCCATTTTAGCAATCACAGTCCTCAAGAGGAGCCAGCTGCTCCCCTTTCCCTCCTACAGAGAGGTAGAAATTGTATGTTACACTAACATGGAAGACCTAGTTCTGCCAGGCATGGACCATTGCATCAGTTCAGCCAGGACAGGTTTGTCAGGAGATGAGCTAGAACACCAGACAGATTTTCCAGCACTAAGCAGCATTAGGATAGGGGAAGTTGCTAGAAATATTTTTTCTCTGGCTACTAGCAAAGCAAAAGGAACCCATTTCTCCTTATGAATGAAAACCAGAGTTTCAGAAATTTAAGTTCAGAAAGAACCTTTGGATCTTCCATAGTTCACTTTGCCACAGAACACAGGCCACTGTGTTTCACTCACTAGTCCAGAACCTTGGGCCACGAAAAGCATAGACAAATCTACTCACTCTGATTTGACTCCTCCATTAACCATAAAAAATATGCTTTGACTTATTTCAGCTTCATGAGCGGGGTATAAGTCCTAAAGGATTATTTAACATGGTGGTTTCTTCTAGTTAAAAGCCCTTTAAGAACACAGAAGTCTCCCTGTTGAAGATTAAGATACTCTTATATCTTTTCAATCCCACAGTGGTCTCACTATTATGATCCTGCAGCCTCATCTCCACTCACATCTGGTGCTCTGTCTGCAGTTTTTGACAGGGCTCTGCTCTCTTATTCTTTCTATCACTTTCAAATGCTCTAAGGCCAATGCTCCCAGATTTGTCTACAAGCAGATTTAGGCCCTTTTGAGCCCACCTTCTGCAGCATGCTTGAAAAACAAGACCTTTATCCCAGGAGAGAAAGGAAAAGGAATTGTTGATTTCATGCAATTGCTGCTTATGGGCATGACGAAATACAAGCAGCATGTTTTGAATCATCCAGCCAACATGTTATCTACACAATGCACACCCTGAAAGCAGCCTTCACTACCTGCAGCCCATCTGGACTTGAAAAGACTTTTATACACATTTCTTAGGGTTTAACCCCAGCCAGCAATTAAGCCCTCTGCTTTTGAGTCCTTTGCTCACAACTACATTGCCTTCCTCAGTGGGATGGGGAGCAGAAATAGGGAAAAACAAGGTAAAGCCTGTAGGTTGAGAAAAGAACAATTGAATTATTAAAATAAAATATAATAATTATTATTGCTATGAAAAGAGAAACAAAACCCAGGATAGACAAGTGATTCACAATTGCTCACCACCTGCTGACTGATGTCCAGCCCATCCCTGGGCCCTAATCAGCTCCTCCTGGCTAATTTCCTTCTGTTTATATGTGGAGCATGACATCCTATGGAACAAGTTTTCCTCTGGTTTGTTCCTGGCAGCTGTCCTGGATATGGAGCCACACAGCTGCTGGTGCTTCTGCTCAGTGGCAGAACATGGGAAACTGAAAAGTCCTTGACTTTGGGTAAATGCTATTCAGAGCCAACCATGTTTTAGCAACACTGTCCTTAAGCCCAAAATCACAGTGCAGTACCAGTTACTAGGACAAAATTAACTCCATACAAAGCAAGGACAACTTCTCACATATGTTAAAGTGAGATTTAGGGAGATTTCTTATAAAGGGTCACTGCAGGAAATTTTTGAGTGATATACATTAGACAGCTTTCCCCTAGAGAGTGGCAGGCCATTCCTCAGTAAATATTGCCACACAGTCAATCAATGCCAGGGGATCATCCTTCTCTTCACATAATCAGATTTTTGGAGGAGAACAGAAGTCAAATCCTAGCTCAGAACCATTAAAGCACCAATCTCCTGTGTACCACTTAAGCAAAGGAACAAACAATCTACCAGTAGAGCAGGAATCCTGAGAGAAGACCAACAGCTATGCTTCACTGAAGGTCTGGGCTTCTTGGAGCCATGTACACACCAGAAATTGCCTAGGAACAGAGGAGCTGGTGCCAAGTCTCCACCTGTGCTTACTTGAGACAAAAAGCAGTTGAGTTATACTCTCTCCAAGAAGTTACACATAAAACAGGGGCTGGTATCACTCTCCCAAGAAACTGGCTCAGGAGCTAAATTGCATTTTAGGACAGTGATACAGGAGAAGAGAGGCTAACTTCCCTCTACAAGCACACATTGGTTTGCTGCTCCTTCCACAGGGGATTTGCTACCCTGAGAACAAAGTTCTGCTTTCCTCAGATTCACTGAGCAACTGTTTCACACAAAAATAAACACTGTGGCACCAGAAAACAAGCTGGGTGGAGCTGATCAGTCTTGCCAGGCAAGGTAGACATCTCAGCCATAACACAAATACCAATTTTCAAAGCAAAACCTATTAGCATCCAAAAATGTGCTGAACAGAGCAGCAAGTGCAGCTGCCTACCTCCAAGCTCCTCCCAAGCAATAAGCTTCTTGAAGGGAGATGCATTTATCTCCTACAGAGGTGCTACAGACCTGCCATTACCTTAGGAGTGTGTGGGGTGTCACAAAGCTGCAGCTTTTTCCAGGTGACGTGCAGTGGTGTCTCAGGTTTACTCCAGCTCTTGCTCACAGATGGGGAAGACTTCAGGGTGGGACTCATCCAAGCTTTTGTTCTGCTCAGGAAAATCTCACTAAGCTTTCTCTGAGGGGTTGCTGGCAGAGGACTGCTCTCTTGCCATTTCTGGAACTCTGAGCTTCTTGGGGGGCTCAAGCTCAGGGAGTCCTCCTCATTTATACTTCTTTCTTCACTCTCTTCACCACAACTGGAAAAGTCCAGTCGCTGAATGAATTCGTTGTTGTTGTCCCAGTCATCCATGTTAGCACTTGAAACAGAACAGGTAGAGCTGATACTGGCCTGTTTTGTTAGAGGAACAGAAAGAAAGCATTATTTACAGATAAACTATCTTCTTCCCTGCTTCATCAAGAGCATCAGTTCTGCTCGCCACACTCTTCAATCCCACATACACAGAAACTTTGGTCAGTGTAATTAGACAGAACTGGTTAATGAAGAGCACCCCAGAATTACCAGGTACAAAGCCATTCAGCTACTGCTTATGTAAAAACAGATTTTTGCTTTTTGTCTTACTGGCATAAGTCAAATAAAATGCAGAAGCCACTGCCTTTGCCAGTAAGTCTCCCAAAGAACTCCTTCATTCCTTACTCTCATCACACAAGGAAACACATACTAAAGAATAACACACACAGTCTCCACTCACTCTCTTCCACATTAAATTTCTCAACCAGAGAGGGGAGAAAAATTCCATGCTACATACAGCTGTAAAAGCAGAGGGTGGCCCAAGGAGTCACCAGATACCCCACAGACAGCCTCTCTCCTGCCCTGGACCATTTATAACCACCCCACACCTGAGCCAATGCTAATGGGAAACATCTGAAGCTTGGCAGCACCTGTCCACAGTTACTTGGTGGATGAGGAATTCTCGCTGGATGTGGATTTGCAGTGCCAACAATCAGCTCTGCAGGGAGCCAGGACTCCCTTTCAGTCTGAGTCATCTCCCTGCTCCTGCATGCTCATCCCTTCTCCAGCTTCCTGGGGCATGTAAGGGGGGTGATGTTTGCTGACAGCCTGTCTGCTCCATAATCCCATCAGGGATCCAGCCTTTGTGGGCTTTACCTTTTACCTGTATAGCCCTGTGATGATGGGACCCTGTGTTTCTTTCTTTAAGACTGAATTTCACTTCCTGCATTTAGCATTTAGGTGTTAGTTTGGGCAAGTGTTGCAGCCTGCATGGAAAGGTCACGAGCCTAATTTATAATGTACAGATTTATGGATGTATCATTTGTAAGACTTCAGAAGAGAGCCAGGAGCCACACACAGGTCTCGGTACAGCTTCCCATTTGAGGTTTCAAAGGAGAGGAGGGAGGAGCTGTGCTGGGGAAGGCAGCCCCAGAGGTGGGGTCACTCTGCTGCTCCCTGGGAGCAGGTCAATGTCCCCCTTCACTGCACCTCTTTGTAAAAAACAGGAATCTTCTGAGCCTTTGACAACCTGTGTTTCAAAGTGGGACTAGAGCAAGTTTTAACTAACTGGGAACAAGGTTGCAGCAGCCTTTTTTCTTAGCCTTGAGGAGAGCTGCCAGAAGGATGTGCAGAGATTGGAAGTAGCTGCAGCCCATAGGAGATGGGGTTTGGCACAAGCAGCACCTGCTTTCCTTGGCACACATCAAGGGTAATTCCCACCCAAACACAAAGGGCCACACTGGTTTGAGGTCTCTGTGCTCTCCTAACCCATTCCTTAAATGAAAAGTGTGGCCTTATGGGTCTCTGAAATTGCTTGTTAAGACTGTGATGTACAATTCATTTGATACAGAAATGAATTGTATCCAATTCACCAAAACAGCCTCAGGAGCCCAGTACGGGTTGCATTTGGCCCAGAGGTTGCAGTATGTCTTGCAGGCACAGAGCTGTTGCTGCCATGCAGCTGCTGCATCTCCCTGTGCCTTATCCTGAGCGAGGTCCAAAAGCCTGGCAGTGCCAGCACTGGCTGCTTTCTGCTGTGACAAGCTGTGTCTGCAGTATCTGGCCAGCTGAGACCCAGGACCACTTTAGTACTGCTGTGATCTGACTGCATTCATCAGGTGTTCAGTACCTGGAGCATTAGATTGAAATATATTAATTTTGAAGAAATAATGCTTTTAGTCCCCATGACTACATGTTTTTAATAACCCAGCAAGGAAATTCCTTCAGACCAGTTTTCAATCCCACCTTAAACAATTTTTAAACTTCTTTCCCCCTCAAGATTTAGAGGCAGTATCCATTTTTTCTAAAGAGGGATGTGATATGTAAAGGAGAAAACTTGGACCTGCTGTGTATAGAGGGCCCAGCTTGTTCATCTTGCATTTTAAAAATAAAAGCTACCACACTTTGATTTACATTTTTCCCGACTGTTCAAAGACCTGATGACAATTTCCTGAGCCCTCAGCTGGAGGGAAAAGGTGTTCGTTTTCTTTTGAAGTGGAGTTTTTATTTCTAAAAGGGTAATATTATCTTCCAGTCAAAATAATGTTGATTTTGTTGAAATAATAAAACAGTAGAAAATGTCTTGTTTTTGCATGTACCCAACAAAGAGTGTGCCCTCAGCAGGCCCAGATTGCTGGCCAAAGCCATATCAATTGCTCTGCTATCACCAGGTCCCTTGCCCCACAGGTTATTTCAGCAAAGCCGGGAGCTCAGAGCATGATGATGTTTCACACATGTCAGAGCCAGCACTGGCAGCCCCTGCTCTCTGGCACTGCTTGCTCTTCCCACTGCATCCCCTCCCTCATGCTGGGGCAATACTGTGTGACTGCACTGCTGAGGGGACCAGGAACAGCTCTGCACCACAAATAGCTCCTGTGGGTCATGAAGCAATTCTTATTTGGGGTTTGTTTCCTGCCTAGATTGCTGGGGGACAGACTTTTGACATTTGTAGCAGCACTAGTGTGGAGACGAAGATAGAAACTAGCTGTCACTGCAGCGTCACCAATATGCAAAAATATATTCATCCAAATGAAGATTGGCACTGTCTATACAGTTAAAGCAAAGCATGTGGCCAAGTATTTGCAGAATCTGGCTTTTCTTTACACAGTAACAAAATATTGTGCAGGGTTTGTTTCTTTTTTTCGTTACCAGTCACCTTCTATGAAAAACTCCATCTGCTAAAAACCACCTACTCTGGTCTATAGCTCTGCAAAGTAAACTTATGCATGGGCTTTGCGAAACAAAATGCCCACTCAGTGTTGGAGCTGTCTGAAATGAAGCTCACAGCAAATGGATGCTAATGTTACAAAAAAAAAAAAAAAAAGAGAAAAACCCAACCCCCACTGCTGAGGAAAGTGGATGATGGGTTTCTTAATGGGGTATTGAACACTCAGAACTGCTCAACAGGAAAAAAATAAGACAATTAAGGCTTTTATGACAGTATCTTCCTTTTAATTGTGGCCTGCTTAATTGGGTAATTCAATTAATCAGAAAGACCTAGGGAACCAAGTTAATCCTAATGACACTTAATGACATTGGTGGTGGCATAAGGAGGATGGTAATTACAAAAAGTTGGCTGACTGTAGATGCCTTGGTCATGCTTGTGTCCCCATCTTTCAATCTGCTTGTTCTGCCCAAAACTGTTTCACATCCTTCTGTAGCACATATGTAAACATATATATGTATACATTCTCTCTCTCTCTATATATATATATGTATGTATGTATGTATGTGTATATATATATACATACACACATACCAATATATACTGAATCAGTATCCCTGACTCCTTCGGATTTGTGGCTTCGGATTTCCACCACAGCCATTTGAGGGGGTGCGAGCCTGCCCCCGTTGCTCTGCCCAGTTCCCGTGGCTTTCCCAGCAGGAGGGCTTTAACGGGGCTGGGGGAAGCAGCTGCTCGGCATTTCTGTCACAGCCGGGTGGGGACAGAAGGGGGGCACCTGGCTCTGCCCTGCGCCAGGAGGTGAAGCACGGGCAGGCCGATTGTCCCCAGCCCCCGTGCCCCTCCAGGAGCCGGCACCGGAGAGCTCCGAGCCGGGGTCTCCGCCGGCTGCCCCGGGCGGCTCCGGCCGCTCCCGGCGCACGGCCCCGCGGCCGCAGCCCCGCCCCGCCGGTGACACCTCCGAGCTCCCGCCCCTCGCTGCCCGCCCCCCGCCGGTGCGGCGCGGGGGGTGCGGCTCGGCTCGGCTCGGCTCGGCTCGGCTCGGCTCGGCTCGGCTCGGCTCGGCTCGGCTCTGGTCCGCTCGGCTCGGTTCATCTCGGCTCGGCCCAGCTCGGCTCGGCTCATCTCTGCTCGGCTCGGCCCGGCCCGGCGCGGCCATGGTGGAGCGCTCGGACGAGGCGCCGCTGCTGTTCTGGGCCGAGGGCCCCGCCGTGTCGGCGCCGCCGCCCGCGGCCGAGCCGGGCAGCAGCGGCAGCGGCGGGCGGCGGCTCGGCGGCGGCTGGAGCGCGGCTCCGTGGGACGGCGAGGGGCCGGAGGAGGCGGCGGGGCCGCCGCGGGCCGAGGCGGAGGAGGACCAGATCGTGGCCGTCTTCGTGGTCACCTTCGACCCCCGCACGGGTGAGCGGCGCCGGGAGCGGGCGGGCCGGGGCGCCGGGGCCGGGCCTGGGGCTCCCGGTGCCGCTGGAGTAAGATGGATGCGGCCGGGACCGGGCTTCCCTTGGGGAGCGCTGTCCCCGCATCCCGCCTCCCAGGGACCGCTCCTCCCGCCGCGCTGGGGCAGCGTGGCCGGACCCACCGGGAGCCGGGCTGCCCTCTGCCCCCACGGGGGACCGCGGCTCCACCGCACGGCTGCCGCTGTCGGGAGCGGAGGCCGTGGGGATTTGCCGAAAACGGAGCACAGAGGGGATTGCTTTTGGTCTCCATCCTGCCGAGAAGTTCTGGCGGGAGGAAGGCGCCGCGTCTGGTGCCGCTCCGAGAACAGGGATGGGTCTATCTCCACGGCACGGGGAGTTTGTGGACGGCGCTGGGGCACCCCCTGTGCCCCGCACAGATTTAGGTCGAGCCTCTGCCCAGCGCTGCCTGGAGGGCACCAACCTGTTAGCAGCATCTTGAGAGCATCCTTCTGTCTCCGTGGAGTGGCGCAGACCTGCCCGCAGCTATCGGTGATGGATGGCGTTTGTGGCAGGCGTAAATCCGGCAGGCTCGCAGGGCATGATCACCAGCAGCAGCGGCAGCTCAGCTGCGTATTTCTTGGTGACCAGTGTGTTTAGAGGCTGGCTTCTGGTGGGATCTCTGGGACTTAGTGCTGTGAAGGAGTGCTGCGATCCATGAGGGCAGAGGAGAGGGGCAAAGGGAATATATTTTCCACTTCTCACTGCCATATCCACTGTCAGTGCTGTTGGACTGTGCTGTTGTGTCACTACTGACAGAGGTTATTAATTTCAAACCTGTAAATCCGCATTTCAGAAAATGTCTTAACTTTGTTTTCCTAGTCCTGCTGCTCCCACAGTACCCACCAAGCAGGATGCTAGGACACAGATAGGAAGTTAGCACCTGCTTTGCACCTGAGAACACAGGTACTGCTGTGCGCAGGGATCTGATGTCCTGAGACACATTGTTGGGTCATTTGGCTGCCAGGCACCAACCTGGGGTTCAAAGGCAAGAGAGAAATTCAGGAGTCCATTTGCATCCAGATGTGCGACTGAGCTCCTCTTTCTTCTCTAGACACGCACTGCCTTAGCCAATCCATAGCAAAAGTACAAGAGACAGGAAAGAGGTCTGTAAAGCACAGTGAGGTTGGTTCTTCCGTGGGAGGGGAAAGTACCTGACATCCTGCTCACAAGAGGGCCTTGGTAGTGAAGACTGAATGCCAGTCTTGAACTGAAAATCCTAAGGAAGTAGAGAACAGGACATGGCTGCTGGTATGATGTGGTATCAGCAATGCCCACTGTCTGACAGCATGGCCGCTGTGTCCAAAAACACCCAAGGATTTTGAGAAGTTACCCTTTCATACTGCACCAGAGAGAAGTGTCTTCAGTCTAGAGGTCATTCATTCATAAAAATCTGAAATAAGATTGGATGTCATCTTTCCAGCAGGAGATGGAAAATGGAGCTGTTTCTCCTAAGTATCCAAAACATGAAAGAGTCTGGGTGACTGCAGCAACAGCAGGTTGTCTTTCGATCTGACAGCATATGCCTTCTATGAAATGGTGAGATTTTCTTGAGAGTTGGCAGAAAGCTGAGCTTTCTCAGGAGTTTCTCTGAACCAGCTGTTGCTTTGAATGAAGTCCAGGGAAAGTTGGGCAACAGCTCTTCTCACATCTGATGTGCAGTTAATGCTGGGTGTCATCAGCCTTGGAGTAGTCTGTCAAGTCCAGGAAGATTCAGCCTCCTGCTGCTACCCAGCAAGGATGACAGGACTGTGAGCAATTTACCAGCAAATGTCAGCTTTACAGCTGGGGAGCAAAGTGCCCTGCAGAGGGTGTGGACTTGGAAAAACATCATGAAGTTAAGTGGTGTGAACTTGCTAAGGTCAAAAAGAAAGTACAGGAATTAATGGTCAACCACATCAGATAGTGTGAAGGACTTCTGTAATGTTTGTAAGGGTATCTGATCTTTGTGTATGACTTAAAGGAAATCATCCAGTTAGTGTCTGAGCTGCTTGGTCCTGCCCAGGAAAAGCACAGCAGACCTCCTTTGGCAGCTTGCTGAGGCATAGGAACAGCTGAATTTCTGGTGGTGGCTGTGCAGGTGGTTATGCCAGGTAGTGTCTGCCCAACTACAGGCAAGTAGGTGGGCAAGAGAGGTTTTCCTGTTGAAGCATGAAGTGGTGACCATGCTAATAAAGAACGTAACAATGTCCCTCCAAAATTTAGAAGGGCTTGAAGCAGAAGAGCTTAGTGTACACAGTTGCATGTGATGAGTTTCCAAAGGTAGGTTATGGGGTTACCATGTCACTGTTACAGTTCCAGTGTCCCTGTGACTGTCAGCACTCGCTGCTGTCCTCACATGCAGCCTGGTGAACCTTGTGGCACTTGAGAAGAAACTCTTCACTGCTGTTGTGGGGCAGCTGATAACAGTCACCTTGTGGAGGTCCCACGCAGTCTGTTGGCTTAAAGGGTCTGTGAGTAATGGAGAGAGACAAGGAAGGAAGAGAGGGAAGTACTGTGTTTTGCACCAGGGAACATGCAAATATTCTGTTCTTCTCTCCCACATTTCTTCCGTGCAGGAAACGGAGCAAGTGTGATATTTAGGTTACACTTCATGCTTCTCCTGAACTGACACAACATGGTAGCATTGCACAGTAGGGGACCTTAAAGCCCTCAGGAAACCTCTAATAGTGAGGAGTGACAGGGGATGACCCCCAAATGCTGGTGCCAGTATCTTCTTTGTGAGGGTGTGAAAATCCAGTGGAAAGAAAATACAAGGGAAAGAGGAACAACTTTGCACTCTAGAAAATGAGTTCTGGCTCAGACCTGACCTGAAGGTGGGAGATAGCTTCCAGGAGATCAGATCTGCAGATCTGACTCTCAGCAACCTCACTAGTCTGCTCTCTAATGATGGGTGACTCTCACTTGGAAAGTTTCCTGTGTGCATGAGAGTTGCTTTCTCCATGGGAAGGGCAGTGCTTCCTGTTTTTCTACAACATTGTTCCCTCCTCCCTCCTCTGGTTTCTCGGGCAGACTGGCAGCCGTATTGCATCTGGGTGAAGTCTCTCCTTTGTTTGCTCTCCTGTTTCGCCAGACTGACTTTCTTACTTTTTAGCCTCCGCGTTTGTTCTCCGACTGCCACGTCGCCCGTGTGTTCACAGGGCAAGGTGGCTGGCGTGAGGAACAGCCAGGAGCACAGGTGCAGGTTGCTCCTGACAGATCCCAGGAAAAAAACCAAAAAACCTGTGTGATAGGTGAGTTGGTTTTGAGGTCACACGCAAGGTAAAGATCTGTTTCAAGGCATTCTTTCCTTATTGCTGCTACAGAACGGGCATTGTTTGAGCAAAGTCCGCTTTAACACCTCTGCAGCGGATGTGACACCTGACAGTGTTTGTGACTAAACTGAGCAAAGCCCATCTTCCTTTGCCCTTGATGACACTCTCACCTATCGATCTGTGAATCTACAGGTATTGACCAATAAGGGATGCTCTGTGGGGCAAGGCTTAAAAGCACATCTGCCCTTAACCACAATTTCATGGTTATGAGGCAACAGTCTCAAGAGCTGACTTCCTCACGCTTTCAAGGAAGGTTCTTGCGCCTTTAAAAAGCAAACCAAACAGGCTCACACAAGCCCCAAACAACAAAAGCCACCATCTCTATATAATCTGGGAGCCCTCCAGGGGAGCGCGCGGGCTGCTATGATGTCACTGGCTCTCTCTGCCAGCCTTTCACACGCCTCAGAGGCCACAGCAGAGCTCTGTGCTTCCCTGTGGGACTGCACAGGGCTGTGCTCGGGGTCACGAGGCTGCTGCTGCTCCCGGCCAGCCCGGCTCTGCGGGAGAGCTCTGCTTGTGCAGTGCAAGCGGGCACTTGGATGCACAGCTTCTCCTGTTGCCATGCCTGACGCTGTTGGGTTTTTTGAAGTCCTTGCCAGGCAGGGCTGGGGGAGGTCTACTGAATACAGCATCAATGTGAGAAGAAAAATAGCGTATTTAAATGTCAGTAGCTAAGCCCTATTCCTGTGCAGGCATATACTTGTGCAGTATGAGTAATGAGACAAAAGACAGGCTTCAGAAATGAGGCCTCTGATTTAAATATCTCCAAGAGTCTTAGCTGAGTGGAAGGCCCCCGCAGATGTATGCTGTCCATGAAAGCACAGCTGGAATGCTCACCCCAAAGGGCAGGGAAAGGAATGAACCAGTAGGAAGCACCTTTGTGCTGCACCTGCCATTGCATTATCACGAAGAATTTTGGTTTGTTTGCCTTGTTTTTAAAACTAAGCCACGTGACTTCAAATGCTGTGGGCAGACTGACAGAGAACAGAAACTCAGTGGGTAAATTTGGAGCACATCTCAGTGCCATGGGAATGTCCAGGTGAGCAGGTTGGGCTCTGAAGTGCTGGGATGGGTAAGTGTGAGAAGTAACCCCTTTTTTGGTCCATGGTAAACTCGTTGGACTTCATTTGCTTTAGGGACATCTTGTGACTTCTGTAATATCATCTGTTCTAGGATCAGGCTCCTCAGGTGGCCTTTTCCCCCGAACAACTGCAAACTTTCTGGCTGGGTTGGCAGGTGACAGATGTTTGCTGATACTGATCTAGCTTGTAATTTATGTACTTTTCTGTTGGTTATTCTAGCATATACAAACACATTACACATCCCTTCAGCCTACATATAAAGCTTCAGCTAACTCCTCCTAACCTAAAGAATATAGGAGAGATTTCAGGGAAGAAGTGATGACTTGGATAATGGCTCAGGGGTTTCTGTTTGACCAGGCCTGCCAAGCACAGGCAAAGAATAATATTGGTGGTGGTGTGAGCTATCCCAAAAACTCATCTGGAAGAGCAATAGTTTGTCCTTTGGTTCTTTCTTATAGGATGGATGCTTGTGTAGACCAAAGCTTATCCACCATCAGGTAAAATTGTAGTTGCTCTGTAATTAAGCTTATCAAGGATAAATCAACAAAATAGCACTAGCTTCAGAAGTGGCCCCAAATGTCCTGCAGTGTCTGTGTGTTGTGCTATAACAAGTAACACTTGCAAGAGATGCGTGGAGTATCGTATGCCATGTACTGTCTGAGACAATTTAGGAGTTCAGGAGTTGTTTTAAGGCACTGTTACAGGTGTTCCAGGGTTAGAAAAGCAACAACTTGCTGTTGATGATGTATGCATTTTAGACATGGGTACTGTATTCAAGCTTACCCAATTTAATTTGCTTCTCTGCAGGCAACATGGTGGAGTGGTGTTTACCCCAGGATATAGATTTGGAAGGTGTGGAATTCAAATCCATGGCAAGCGGGTCCCACAAAATCCAGTCAGATTTCATGTGAGTACATCTGAGCTATATTACTTCTTCCTAAGTTGTGCATCGACACCACCAGCTCTTAATTCAGACCATGCAAGAAAAATACCTTGTAGCAAGCTAGGGTCCTGCAGAAACCTGCTTGCTAAACTGTTTCTACCTGTGCCAAAGATACTTTCCAGATACTTTCAGTATAGTATTAAGTACCGGCTAGCTGCAGGGATCTGCTGTATGACAGTGGAGGCCAACTGGGGCAGGCCAGCTTCTCGCTGGCATGCAAATTTCAGTGTGTACTGGGCAAATGATCTGCACTGCCACCATTGAGACTGCAAGAAGAGGCCTAGGGTGAAGGGCAAGGAATGGAAGAACTGAAATGGGAAGGATTTTGCAGGAACAGGATTTAGAAAAATGTTCTTAACTCTGCCAGGGCTTTTGGTTCCTTTAAATGTTGTTATAAACAGGTATTGTTCACTTGCTTTTTTCCTAGCTCCTTCAGTGGAAACACATAAGAGAGGAATTTTCTGCATTCTGCTAAACCAATGTTGCAATGCAGCAATGTTTTGCAATGAACTGCAGTGTCACAATTCCTTTTGGTCAGGAATAACAGTTACTTTCTTAAAGGCATGTGAACTGAACCCTTGCAGTCTGATGATCAGAGTGTGCTTCAAAGTGCTGGCACCCAAAATATGACCAGGTAGCTGTACTGTACTCAGAACTGCATTCACTGCAGGCTTCTACCTTGGAGGAAGGGCTCTGGTCTGACTGAATCATGCATTCTGTTGGTCTTCCTTCCAAGTTATTTATTTGCATTCCTTACTGGCCTGTGATGTTGCTGGTAGGGGCTGGAGTGGGAACTCCTGGGAACTCTTGCCTTAAATAGTTTGTCTTGCTGCTGAGAAGTCTGGGACACCCTAGGCTGGTCCTCAGCCCTTCAATTAGCAGGGTGGGATTTCAGGGAGTTTCTCACAGAAGAAAATATGTTCCCAATCAGTAATTTTGGTCCTCAGTTACCTTTCTTTCTTCTTCTTCTTTCTTCTTTTTAACGTTAACCCTTCTTTCAAAATTTGTCTCCAGTTATTTCCGGAA